CCGCATGGCCCGGCTGGGCGCCCTGCTGGTGGCCGCCGCCCTGGGCGCGCTGCTCAGCTTCGCGCTCCTGGCCGCCGCCATCGGCAGCGACTACTGGTACATCCTGGAGGTGGCGGGCGCCGGCAGCCGCAGCAGCCCCGGACGCACCGAGCGGCTGTCCTCGCACTCGGGGCTCTGGCGCATCTGCGAAGGTAATGTCACCCTGGCCCCCGCTCCGTGCCACCCCGTTCCCTGGACGCACCTCCCCCGCACCCCCGAGTCTGCTCCCCTATCTCTGTCGACCCCCACCCAGGTAATCTCTCTCTCTGGACCCCACCCCCCCGCATCTCTGTCTTTAGCGCCACCCCCCCCCCCAAACTGTGCAGTGACTGTCGGACTGTGGAGGGGCTGGCGGAGGAAGGGACTCGACCTCAAGGCAAGGCCAGGGCCGGGCCAAGACTGGGGGCGTTGGGGTTTGGTACCTGGGGTCCCCAGGGCCCCATCCCTGCCAGGGAGAATGGTGCCTCCCTGGACACCTAGGGGTCGGTGGAGTGAGGAAGGGGTCAGTCTGGGCAGTCATGAAGAGTCCTGGCTGTGAGGTCCTGCATGAACCCGTTTTACAGGCACCTTCTTCCTTTCAAAGAAAGCCTGACTGTAACATACTAATGTGTTGTAAGGTCCCCTGTCTCCGGAGTCAGGGCCTCTATGGGGCGGCGGGGGGCGGGGGGGCATTTGTAAAACAACCATACATGCAGGTATTATTTGCACATTAAAATAAACACAGTGGAAGGTCTGGAGCACTCCCACCCGCCCATGTCAGGTTAGTGTAAACATTGCAAATGGTGGGGTATTTTATAAAAAAAATTTAATGAGCTCAAGTTTGGGGGAAAAAAACAAAAATCTATTGCTGTCCAGTCGATTCCGACTCATAGCAACCCTATAGGGCAGAGTAGAACTGCCCCATAGAGTTTCTAAGGAGTGGCTGGTGGATTTGAACTGCCCACCTTTTTGGTTAGCAGCCGCAGCCCTTAACCACTGGGCCACCGGGGCTCCAAGTTCAGGACAGGTTATGTAAAATGTGGAAAATGCTGCTGGCATTTGAAGCACTAACTACACAAAATGTAACACGTGGGGAGATGGGGCCCAGCCAGTGGTGTGCTGTGGTGTGCTGGCGTGTGCCTAACAACCGGCTCTCCAGAAGAAAGCGGTCCTGATTTGCGGTGTTTGCCGATTTCTATGGTGTAAATATTCCCACCGTGGCAATTTCTGCCTAACCAACTAGCTTGTGAAATTCTGGAAAATTTAACAGTGAGCTCTTGTGAGTCAGGTGAGGGGGTTCCAGCACACCCTTGGCTGGTTTCCAGCCTGGGACACACAGGTGGAAGGGATCCCAAAGTGGGACACAGCCACCCAGGGATGGGGCCCCCTGTGTTCCCTGCCCGTGGAGACTTTCCCACAGCTGCTGGTTCCTATGGGCTGAGAGTCTCCGTCAAAGCTAATAAGTAACAAACCAGCTAAAGCCGACATGGAGAACTTTGCGAGGATCTCATGGTGTCTCCGAGAACCCAAGGGGGCACGGCAATGGGGGTGAGGCCTGGAGCCCCCACAGGACGGGGTCTGAGCCAGGAGGCCACTCTCCTGCGCTCTGCACCACCCTCTCTCTGTGCAGCCTTCTTGCTGGCCTCTCCAGCATGTGGGGAGGTAGTACCCTAAAGTGGTCACCCAGCCCCAAGTTTCTAAGCCCCCCCACAGAGACTGATGGGTATCTGGAGCCTTGACTCCAAGTTCAAGCGAGAGAGAACCTGTGTCCGCGATCCTATGGCTGCTCGGCCCAGTCCACTGGCCGGGGGCGGGGAAGCGCCGTCACACGGGGCTTCCGGGACCCCCTTCTCCAGGAAGTGCTATGTAGGTGGTGGGCACCCCCAGGCATCCCGGCCCACCAGGGGTGCACCATTTCTGCCTTCCAGGACAGAACGGCTGCATCCCCCTCACTGATCCCTTTGCCAGCGAGAGCCTGGACGTGTCCCCCTCCGTGCAGCACCTCATCTGTGAGTCCTGGGGTGGGGCACCTCCTCGTCCTTCCCTCAGTCCAGGCTGGGAGCAGAGTCACCCCTCCCAGCCGCCAGCACAGCTTTTGGCCAACCCTGCGTTTCCCAGGGGGCATTGCCATGCTCTGCACTGACTGATGGTGCCGACTCCCGCCTGTCGCGCCATCTCTGTGCCTCGGTTTCCCTCTCCATGGTCACGGCCCTCCCCTTGTTGTTGGGGGTGGGATACAGCTCTGGAGGCAGCTGGATCGCGTTGGCGCCTCTGCAAACGCCAGGCTCCTCCTGGACTCTCCGGTCTTTGCAAACAGGCCGCTGGCCTACGCGGTGGGCATCCCCCACCCCGGCCAGGGGCTTGGGGGGTGCTGGGGAAGGCTCCTTCACCGTGGTCCCCAGGAGCCTGTGCTGGAGGAGAGGTGGGCACTGGGGGGGCGGTTACCATGGAAACAGGGGTGTGAGGGGGAGTGGGGATGGTCTGGCCAGGATGGCCCGTGTGTCCTGCCAAGTGGAGCACACGTCACTGTCCTCCAGCCTCTCAGAGCTCTAAGCGCTGACCTCAACATCCCTGGGGAGGGCAGGCCCCCTGGCTCCCTGCACGCTGACTCCCTCTCCACTCCCTGGGGAGGGCAGGCCCCCAGACACCCCTGCACAATGACCCCCTCTCTGCTCCCTGGGGACGGCAGGCCCCCAGACTCCCACCTGCATGCTGACCCCCTCTCTGCCCCCTGGGGAGGGCAGGCTCCCCGACCCCCTGCGAGCTGACCCCTCTCCACTCCCGGGGGAGGGCAGGCCCCCAGACACCCCTGCACAATGACCCCCCTCTCTGCTTCCTGGGGAGGGCAGGCCCCCCAGACTCCTACCTGCACACTGACCCCCTCTCTGCTCCCTGGGGAGGGCAGGCCCCCAGACACCCCGGCACACTGACCCCCTCTCCACTCCCTGGGGAGGGCAGGCCCCCGGGCCCCCTGCACACTGACCTCTCGCCGCTCCCTGGGGAGGGCAGGCGCCCGGGCCCCCGGCACACTGACCTCTCGACGCTCCCTGGGGAGGGCAGGCTCCCCGACCCCCTGCGAGCTGACCCCTCTCCGCTCCCTGGGGAGGGCAGGCCCCCGGGCCCCCTGTGAGCTGACCCCTCTCCGCTCCCTGGGGAGGGCAGGCCCCCGGGCCCCCTGAGCTGACCCCTCCCCGCTCCCTGGGGAGGGCAGGTGCCCGGGCCCCCTGAGCTGACCCCTCTCCTGCACCGCGTGGTCATGGTGGTGCTGCCCCTGAGCCTCGTCCTCACGGTGTGCGGCCGGCTCTGCAGCCTGCTCAGCCCCCTGGCCCAGAGCGTCCCTCTGTTGCTCTTCACTGGCTGCTACTTCCTGCTGGGGGGTACGTCTGCTCTGCGGGAGCCGGGGAGCCAGCTCCCCTGGGCCAAGTGCTGCCTCTCCCCACTGCCCAAGGCTCGCTGCTCAGATGGTGCCTTCCACAAGGACCAGACCCAGCATGATGGGGGCTGGGATGATGAGATCCTTGTGTGGTTGCCAGGTAGGGGCCTCCTGTGTCAGCTGGGGGGATGTCCTTCAGGAGGTCTGAGGCAGAAATGGGACGTGGGCTCCCTGGGCTCCAGGGAGAGCCAAGGCCCACATGGGGCCCTTGTGGTGTGAGCAGAGATGGCGGGGTGGGGAGGGCTGAGAGAGGGCCACCCACCTGGTGCCCCAGCCTGGGGGCGGGCTGATTGGGGGTGGGGATGCGGGCTCTGAGTGCCGTTCTGGCTTGGCCAGGCTGGATGGAGGCAGCTGGGGGTCTGGAGAGGGCTCGGCTGGAGGAGAGGAGAGGCGTTCGGGGGCGGGAAGCTGGCGGCTACTCTGAAGGCAGTGACAGACCCCTCTCAGCTGTGGCCCGCAGGGTCCTGGGCACCAGCTACGTGAGCACCGCTTCCTCCAGGAAGCCTGAGAGAGGGGCCCCCCAGCCCAGTGCTGGGTGCAGGCCCTCTCTGCCTAAACCCAAAGACCAACTTCATTGGATTTGGCTTCACGTCCTTCCCAAAATTAAATCCATAACTTCTGTGTCTCCCTGACTGGCGCTAGGCTGGCTGCTGCCTGAGTCCTCCCGCTCCCCTCCCCTCCAACTCCCTCCTCCTCCCTCCTCCCTGCCCTCCAGCGTGCTGGCGGGCTGTGTGCAATGGGGCTGTCTTGGTCGTCTAGTGCTGCTGTAACAGAAATACCACGAGTGGGCGGCTTTAACAAACAGAAATTTATTCTCTCACTGTTTAGGAGGCTAGAAGTCCGACTTCAGGGCTCTAGGGGAAGGCTTTCTCTCTCTGTCGGCTCTGGAGGAAGGTACTTGTCTCTTTGCGCTTCTGCTCCTGGGCGATCTTCACGTGTCTGGGCATCTCTGCTCCCCCATCTCTGCTCTGCTCGCTTGTTCAATTTCTTTTATATCTCAAAAAAGATTGACTCAAGATACACCCCACACTAATCAAGTCTCATTAGCATAACAGAGACAACTCATTCCCAAACGAGATCATAACCACAGGTAAAGACGTAGGATTTACACAACACATATTTTGTGGGGACACAATTCAATCCATAACGGGCTTTGTGGGTGCAGGCCCCTGGGTTTGAGAACTCAGTCAAATCCTCCTTAAAGCTCCATCCTCCAGGCCTCAGAGCTGACCACAGTCAGTGTCCCCTCCACCGGCCCCCACCTCCCCACGCCCCCCGGGTAAGGAGGTCTCAGAAAGCCCAGGCTGAGGACCAGTTGGGGCTAGCCGGGAAAGAGATGCGGTGAGCTCGGGGCAGGAGCTTCCGAGGCCGTGTCTGCAGGGCCCCTCGGCCAGGATAGCCGCCCCCAGCAGGCATGGAGAGGTCCCCTGGCCCTCTCTCCCCAGGTGCCCTGACCCTGGCAGGCATCAGCGTCTACATCAGCTACTCGCACCTGGCCTTCGCGGAGCCAGCCCACCAGTACGGGGCCCACCATGTGCAGGCCGTGTGCATCAGCTTCGGCTGGTCCTCCGCCCTAGCCTGGGGCTCCTGTGCAGCTGAGACCCTCAGCGGAGCCCTCCTGCTGGTGGCCACCCGCGTCCTCAGCCTGAGCCAGCGGCCTGGCGGCCCCCACTCCGTGGTCATCTAAGTCGGATGTGGCAGGAGAGCAGCGCAGTCTCTCTGTGTCTCCTAGGATCAGAGCCCCAGGACTAAGGAGCAGCTGGAGGAAGGCTGGGGGTCCCACCTGTCATCTGCTTGTCATCCTGGCTGGGAAGGGGGTCCTGGGGGTGGGCGAGGGGCTGGGGAAGCGCCAGGGTGGCACTGGGGCATCCAGGCTCGTCCTTGGGAAAGCCAGATGTTTGGGGCTCCCCTGACCCCACTTACACCTTCTAGGGACTGTTTTATTTTTTCCCGTACGAAAATTTATACATACATTGTTATGTGAATCTAATTGCTCTCCCCATACTGTGACAGCACACTCCTCCTTTCCACCCCTGATTCCCCATGTCCATTCAACCAGCTCCTAACCCTCTCTGCCTTCCCATCTCAGCTCCGGACAGAAGCTGCCCGTTTAGTCTCTTGTATCTACTTGAGCTAAGAGGCACACTCCTCACAAGTATCACTTTATGTCCCACAGTCCAGTCCAATCCCTGTCTGAAGAGTTGGCCTCGGAAATTGTTTTAGTTCCGGGCTGATAGAGAATCCAGGGGCCATGCTTTCTGGGGTACCTCCAGTCTCAGTCAGACCATTAAGTCTGGTCTTCTTACTAGAATTTGAGTTCTGCACCCCACCTTTCTCCTGCTCCATCAGGGACTCTCTGTTGTGTTCCCTGTCAGGGCGGTCACTGGTGATAGCCGGGCACCATCTAGTTCTTCTGGTCTCAGGCTGATGAAGTCTCTGGTTTATGTGGCCCTGTCTGTCTCTTGGGCTAACAGGGACCGACTGTTTTAACCTTCTCTTAGAGACAAGCGAAGTGAACCCAGAGAGAGGAACAGCGGCCGAGGTCATGGGGGCTGTATGCTTAGAGTGGGGGTGGGGTGCCCCAAGTTCCTGGTGCCAGCAGTGGCATGCACCCCCACAACAGTCCTGGTGTACCACTGCAGCTCCCATTCCAGGGGCCCTGGGACAGGCAGAGAAGCCCCCACACTTGGGGAGGGAGAGGGGTCGAGAGAGAAGTAGGTGTCATTGGTTAAATATCCCCAGTGCTGGGTGCTGTGCGCTCATCCACTCATCCAGTCCCCAACAACCCTGCATGACAGTGACCATCCACCTGCTTTACAGAGGGGGAGACTGAGGTCCAGAGCGGTGGAGGACCTGCCTGGATCACCCAGGAGCCAATGGCAGAGTCAGGTGCCCGTGAGGGTCATGTGACTCCCAAGCCTCCGTCTGTCCTGGGAGGGCAGGGGGAGCCCAGTGGGCCGGATGGCCTTGGTCCCTCCCACGTCTCAGACCTGGGGGTTGGTTTAAGCTGAGTACTTCGGGCGGACAGAACAGGCCTTCAGGCCTCCGTCCCTATGCTGGTTCGGGCACTGCTCTTGCTGATTGATTGGGACTGAGACACGGCCCTTTCCCGTCTGCAGCATTTTGGGAATATCTGTGGTTGCCAGGGGCCCGTGGGCCCCCCTGAACAATCCTGAGAAGGGGGGAAGTGTGCAGTGGTGGGAGGGGGCACTATTTGTCTGCTCGTGAGTGGCCAGGATGAAGGGGCTTCTTGGCCAGGAGGGACTGGTGCCGCCCCAGGTGGCAGGGGGGGCCGGAAACAAGGCTCCGGGTCAGTGTGGCTGCAGGTTTATTGGACAGAATTGTGAGGCCCAGGCGGGGTGGGGGGCAGCCTGCAGCCCCAACCCGAGTCCTGAGGCTGGTGTAAGGGCAAGACCCAGAGAATATGTGGGAGCTGAGTCATCTGGGCCTGGAAGGTCTGGGGCAGGCTCAGCTTCTGCAGCTGGGAAGCTGGGGTGGCTCCAGAGGGTCCGCAGGGAACTGGGCAGCACTGGAAGCCCCCGACAGCCCCATTCGGGGTGAGGGCCTCCCTGAGTCTGCGATGCGAGGGACGATGGCAGCCTCTGGGCTTAGTCTTCCTCCCTCCTCCACCTCCCTTTGTTGCTTCCAAGGTTACAGGAAGCTCCTGGGGCACAGGGCGCTGGCACTGTTGGCGCCCACTGGGGGGATCAGTAGGGGGCTTCACTTCCTCCTCTTGTTCTAGCATTTACCATTTCATGTAGGAACCACTGAGCCAATTTGTCCTTAAATAAATCAACTTGTGCTGTGTGTGGTATAACCCTTTTTTTTTTCTCTTAACCTATTTGTCAAAATAGGTAACACATGCCCATGTTATACAAACAGTGCATCCAGGGAAATTCTATGAAAGACAACAAGCCCGCGTCTCCTTTCCATCGAGCAGAGCCATGGGAGGACAGCTCCGTGTTCCCCTCCAGGGGCTGGCTTTGTGGGCAGGTCCCTTAGTCGGTAAGGAAGGTTCCCGAACCTGAGTGACTATAACTTGCCTTCTCCTTCCTCTTGGCCCCATGGCATTCACTGGGGAGGTGTCTCCTGGCTGAACAGGGCTTTGCTGGGGCGCTGAGGTTATGCATTTAACCCTAGGCCTCCTGAACTGCAGGTGGACTTTGGGGATAGGATGCCAGAACAGACACACTGGGGAGCTGCTTGGGTCTTCAGAATTCCCTGGGTGGGGGGCACGTGGTGCTTGCTCATTCTGTTCTTCTAGAGACTGTCAGGACGTGGAGCTAACTGTCCAAGGACGCTGTTGGGAGGGATAAGAGCTTGAGCTGGAAAGTCATGGACGGTCAGGGCCATATGCAAGCTGATGATGAGGAAGCAGAGGTACAGAGAGCAACAATCAGGGGAGACAGGTTGGACCCACAGGGACCAGGGGCCCCTGAGAGAGCTGGGAGAGCCTCAACTCTTCAATCTCCTACTTTCATCCCTGGGGAATCCCGCTGCAGTAACTTTCTGTCCTTGGATGTCGCTCCGACTGCACATTGTGTTCTCAGTCACCATCCTTGACTTACAGGAGATTGAGTGGGGCCTCTGTTCCTTGCAGACAGATGGTAAGCCCTGACTGTAATGCCCCTGCCTTCCACCATAGAGTGTTCTTCCTCCTCCTCTGTTCCCTCAAAGCCCTTTCTTCAGCGATGGTCCAGCTATGTCCTCCTTCCTGGTCACTTCAGCCCCTTCTCCATCCTCCCTCTGGCACATTTATCTGCACATTTCTGGGGGCCAGCTCTAGTTACTTATCTTCTTCTGTATACATTATGCATATACATTGTTGTTAGATGCCATCAAGTCAGTTCCAACTCATAGCGACCCTAATACAATAGAGGAAACACTGCCCAGTCCTGCGCCGTCCTCACAATCATTGTTATGCTTGAGCCCATTGTTGCAACCACTGTGTCAATCCATCTCGTTGAGGGTCTTCCTCTTTTTCGCTGACTCTCTACTCTGCCAAGCATGATGTCCTTCTCCAGGGACTGGTCCCTCCTGATAACATGTTCAAAGTATGTGAGACGAAGTCTTGCCATCCTCTTGTCTAAGGAGCATTCTGGCTGTACTTCTTCCAAATCAGATTTGTTTGTTCTTCTGGCAGTCTATGGTATATTCAGTATTCTTTGCCAGCACTATGATTCAAAGGCATCAACTCTTCTTTTGTCTTCCTTATTCATTATCCAGTTTTCGCATGCATATGAGGCGACTGAAAATATCATGTCTTGCATCAGGTATACCTTCGTCCTCAAAATGACAACTTTGCTTTTTAACACTTTAAAGAAGTCTTTTGCAGCAGATTTACCCAATGCAATACGTCGTTTGATTTCTTGACTTCTGCTTCCATGGGCGTCGATTGTGGATCCAAGTAAAATGAAATCCTTGACAACTTCAGTATTTTCTCCATTTATCATGATTTTGCTTATTGATCCAGTTATGAGGATCTTTGTTTTCTTTATGTTGAGGTGTAATCCATACTGAAGGCTATAGTCTTGAATCTTCATCAGTAAGTGCTTCAAGTCCTCTTTGCTTTCAGCAAGCAAGGTTGTGTCATCTGCATATTGCAGACTGTTAATGAGTCTTCCTCCAATCCTGATGTCATGTTCTTCTTCATACAGTTCAGCGTCTCAGATTATTTGCTCAGCATACAGATTGAATAAGTATGGTGAAAGGCTACAACCCTGATGCACACCTTTTCTGATTTTAAACCACTCAGTATTCTCTTGTTCTGTTCAAATGACTGCCTCTTGGTACAGGTTCCTCATAAGCACAATTAAATGTTATGGAATTCTCATTCTTTGCAATGTTATCCATAATTTGTTATGATTCACACATCAAATGCCTTTGCATAGTCAACAAAACATAGGTAAACATCTTTCTGGTATTCTCTGCCTTCAGCCAGGACCATCCGACACCAGCAATGATATTCTTCGTTCCACATCTTCTGAATCTGGCTTGAACTTCTGACAGTTCCCTGTCGATATATTGCTGTAAAAGTTTTTGAATTATCTTCATCAAAATTTTACTTGCATGTGATATTAATGATATTGTTCAATAATTTCCGAATTCAGTTGGCTCACCTTTGTTTGGAATGGGCACATATATGGATCTCTTCCAATCGGATGGCTAGGGAGCTGTCTTCCAAATTTCTCAGCATAGATGAGTGAGTGCTTCTAGCATTGCATCCATTTGTTGAAATATCTCAATTGGTATTCCATCAATTCCTGGAGCCTTGTTTTTCTGCCAATGTCTTCAGTGCAACTTGGACTTCTTCCTTCAGTACCATTGGTTCTTGGTCATATGCCACCTCCTGAAATGGCTGAATGTTGACCAATTCTTTTTGGTACAGTGACTCTGTGCATGCCTTCCATCTTCTTTTGATGCTTCCTGCGTTGTTCACTATTATGCCCATAGAATCCTTCAATATTGCAACTCAAGGCTTGAATTTCTTCTTCAGTTCTTCCAGCTTGAGAAATGCCAAGCATGTTCTTCCCTTTTGGTTTATATATATGTATACACACACACAGAGACATAAATATTTACATACATACATATATATATATATATATATATATATATCTCCAGAATGAAATATTTAAAAACATTAAGAATGGTTATTCTTGGTTGATAAATATACAAGCAATTCCTATTTTCCTCTTTATTCTTTTTATATTGTCCAAAATTATCCATGTTTCCTCCTTTTTGTTCTTTATGAGTTTCATCAGAGGGTTATTGATTTTATTAATCTTTTAAAACTGCCACCTTTTGGCTTTATCTAAATAATTTCTTCTGACTTATCTTTTCACTAATTCTCTCTATAGCTATTCTCTTCTGCTATTAAACCTATCCACTGAGTTCTTAATTTCAGCTCTAGAATTTCCACGTGGTCTTAAAGTTTCAATCTCTCTGCCAAATTTCTTGATCTTGTCTTGTAATTCCTTGAATATTTTATTTTAAAGTCCATATCTAATAACTTCCTTATCTTGATCCTCTGGGGGTCTGTTTCTCTTGTCTGTTTTGTCTCTTGATTTCAGCCACATCTTGTTCCATCCTATGCCTGGCTATTTCTGATTGAGTGGGAACTTCACATATTAAAAAAACTGTAGAGAAAATTGGAGGCACTGGGTGGTGTCATCTTTCTCCAGAGAGGACTCACCTTGGCTTCTGGCAAGCTGCTAGACCAGACACACTAGCAATTCCAGATCACCTGAAGCAGGGGTTATGGTGATTCATATCTGGACTTCACTTTTCATAAGGGATGATCTATTTCCAGTTTCTCTTACTCCTAGTGGGTATCCCTTCAGGGCCCCAACCTGAAGGCTCAGGGTGGGGGGGCATTACCAGGGCCCTTTGGTAAGCTCTGAACTTCAGTTTCTGTCTCCTCAGCACTGTGTGTCTGTCAAAAGCTTTGCTCAGCTGCTCAGCCTCTCAGCAGCTGCTTTCAGAATCCAGCAGATGCCTAGAGGAAAAGTGGCCCCAATGCCAGACCCAACTCTAGGTTCCTCTCTTTTCCTGGATCTTGGCCTTACAACGCATTCCTGCCCTGCAGGTTCTCCAGTACCTCCAAACAGAACTTTACAAATATGTATTCTGTCCGGCTTTTCTTGTTGATCTCAGGAGGGGGTCGCCCTAACCACTGAGTCTGCCTAAATTACAAGAGATGCTAAAAATGAGGTCTAGCCCAAAATTGTCTACAATGAATACATATTGCTTTATAAGTAGAAAATATTTATTTTTTAAAAAGGAAAAAATATATTGGATGACTACAGATAGAGTCCAGACCCCTTATCTCGGCAGTTAAAGCCCTTCGTGACAAACCCTGATGTCCATTTCTAATTTCCTCTCCCTGCCTCCTGGGAAGCTCTGGTTTGTATGTGACCTTGAGCAACAGCTTAGGGTGGCTTCCTCTTTACAATGGGAGTGAAAGACCTGCCCTGGCTGTGTCCTGGATTCTGGTGATGAGGGCCTGGATGGTGTCCTATTTCTCTGTGTCCTTGGGCATTGGCATGGATTGAATTGTGTCCCCCAAAAAGATATGCTGAAGCCTTAATCTCTGGTACCTGTGAATGTGACCTTGTCTGGAAATAAGGTCTTTGCAGATGTTATCAGTTAACATGAGGTCATCCTGGAGTCAGTGGGTCCTAATCCAATGAGCGCTGTCCTCATAGAAGAGGAGAAGTGACATACAAACACACAGGGAGGACGGCCACGTGACGATGGAGATTGGAGTGTTGCAGCTACAAGCCAAGGAATACCAGGGGATTGCGAGCCTTCACCAGAAGCTAGGGAGAGATTCTCCCTCTCAGAAGGAATCAACATGGCCGACACCCTGATCTCAGACTCCCAGCCTCCAGAACTGTGAGAATAAATTTGTTGTTTTTATGTGTATTTCAATACTTTTGTTTTCATTTTATACGCTCAGGGCTTTTGTTGGTTGTTGTTGAGTTGTTTCTGACTCATGGCAACTCTGTGTTTGCAGAGTAGAACTGCTCCATACGGTTTTCAAGACTGACTTCAGAAGATCACCAGGCCTTTCTTCCTAAGTACCTCTGGGTGGTTCAAACTGCCAACCTTTCAGCTAGCAGTTGAGCGCTTAACAGTTTCTGACACTCAGAGACTCCTTAATTTCTGTTGTTTTACCCACCCCGCCATGTGGCACTTGTTACAGCAGCACCAGTAAGCCAGTGTAGCCACCCCGCTGGTACCAGGAGGGGTCATTCAGGGTTCACTGACCGAGTGGGGGGAGGGCTTCACCCCAGTGTCATGAAAAGTGAGGGGGCCGATGCAAGACAGGCGGATTATGGGGTGTTGTTTCACTGCCTCTCTTTGCGTACCTCTGCTCCCCCTCCCATCCCAGCCAGGACATGGTGTCTCTGGCCACCCTGTCCTCAGGGCCCCAGCTGCCTCAGCACGAACTCCCACTTCCTCAGTGCCAGCTCGGTGTCCTGCGCTGAGACGTCGCGGTGCCACACGGCACGCACAGAGCGCTCTGTCCAGGGGAACAGCAGCACGCTCACCACCTGGCCCATCTGCTTCTCCTCTTCGGCACTCACGGCCCGCAGGTGCTGGCACAGCTCCTCGGGCGACAGCCCCACCACCCGCACCACCACCATGTTGGTCTCCACGGTGCTGGGATCCACAGAGCAGATAGGGGAGGCCAGCTCCCGGAGTCCTAGGTGCAGGTCCTGCAGTGAGCGGAGCCCGGCCAGGATCCAGCCCTGCCCCCACCGCCCAGCCTGTTCTCCAGGGAAGGCAGAGGGGCCGCCTGAGGCCTCTGGAGTCATGGCCTCTGCCATGTCTTAGCTGTGTGATCTTGGACTACTTAGTCAATTAACCTCTCTGGGCCTTGGTTTCCTCCTCTGTAAAGTGGGGGAGCCAGGGGCTGTTGTGAGGGCTCAATGGACATAAAGACCCCAGTCAGAGGCCACACTCGGCTGGTTCTGCTCAGAATAACAGTTCCTGGCATCGCTTGGTGCTTACTTTTGCCAGGCAGAGCACTGAGCTCCGATACAGCGCTTCGGCTCACCACATCCCACCCCTGGCGGCTCCGCAGCCAGCCTCCACTGTCTAGGGGCTGAGGGTGCAGAGCTGCTGGGGGCTGAGGTCCTGCTGCAGCACCCCACCCCCAGGCTCTCCCCAGGCCCAGGTCAGAGGCAGCTGGGGGAAGTGGGCGGGGCCCTGTCCAGGCACCTGTGGCGAATCGCTGTGCGTTCTGGTGGTCCTGCAGCAGCACCTCCTCTGCGTTGGCCAGACCCACCAGGGCGGCAGCAGCCAGCACCCCCGCCTGGTGCATCCCGCCGCCCAGGGCTTTCCGGAGGCGCCAGGCTTCTTTGATAAAGTCTTTGGGCCCCCCAACCAGGGCCCCCACTGGTGCCCCCAAGCCCTGGGAGGAAGAGAGGAGAGGCCTGCCTGCCTGCCCACTGGGTGTGCATCCTGCCCTTGGGGGTGACGGTAGAAGGGGCCAGGTGAGGGGGTGGAAGGGGCCAGGTGAGGGAGATGGAAGGGGCCAGGTGAGGGGGTGGAAGGGGCCAGGTGAGGGGGTGGAAGGAGCCAGGTGAGGGAGAGGAAGGGGCCAGGGGAGGGAGATGGAAGGGGCCAGGTGAGGGAGATGGAAGGGGCCAGGAGAGGGAGAAGAAGGGGACAGGTGAGGGGGTGGAAGGGGCCAGGTGAGGGGGTGGAAGGGGCCAAATGAAGGGGTAGAAGTGGCCAGGTGAGGGGCAGCTTGTGTGGCCCCGCCTGGGAAGGAGTTAAAGGGGGCCCAAGTCCAGTGGCTGCCAGGACAGGGGCTCTGGCACCCCCACCCCACCCATTCTGGGAGGCGCCCAGCATTCTCCTCACCTTGGAGAAAGAGAGGGAGACAGAGTCACAGTGCTCCACGATGCGGGCAGGGGGCACGCGCAGGGCCAATGCTGCGTTCATCAGCCGGGCCCCGTCCAGGTGAACTCGGACGCCGTAGTTCCGGGCCAGGGCGTGCACCTGGGGGTCAGATGCAGGGGACGTCAGAGGGGAGGCACGGGGGGAGGGCGGCGTCTCCAGAGCGCAGGGCTTTGTCCCTTAAGGAGTCGTAAGGCGCCTGGAGTCAGGAGACCTTAGGGTGGCCAGCTCTGGCCCTTGGTGACCTGGAGCAGTGGCCGGGTGCCGCCCAAGCCTCAGTGTTGCCGTCTGTGGAATGGGGCTGACGATAAGCACTCTCACTGGTGTACGCTGAGCACTCTCTGCGAGCACTGTGCACGCGCATCAGTGCTTTCTCTCACTTAGCTTCACCGCAGCCCTGAGGGAGGTAGTTCCTCCCACTGGACAGTGAGCACACCAGGTGGCTTGCCCAGGTTCTCGGCGGTCAGCAGCAGAGCTGACAACGGCAGCCCCCCAGGCACACACGCAGGTGGTGAGGATGGGGGCACTGGAGCATCGTGATGTCTCAGCCTGTGCTAGCTCTAAAGAGCCTTACCCCATAGCACGGGGGTGGGTGGGGGGCAGTCCCTGATGCTGCTCTGGGACTCGGCTCCCGGGAGAGGGTCTCTGTCTGCTCTTTGGGAAGAGTGCAGGGACTAACTGGTCGCTGTGGGGTTGATTACAGAGGAGAACTGCTCCATAGGGTTTTCTGGGCTGCAATCTAGGTTAGCAGTCAAGGGCAAACCATTTGCCCCACCCAGGGGCCTAAAATGGGGTGAGAGTTTCCTCTGCATCCTCAGCCTGAGACCACCCAGGCATCGCTCCCACAGCAGTTCCAGCCACTGCTGAGCACCCATGGTGTGGATGGGATCCCAGGACAGGGCTCAGGGAGACAGGAAGCCAGGAACAGGCTGGCGATGGGAGCACCGTTGGGGGGTGGGGGGTGGCTACCTGGCGTAGGTAGTCGAGGGGGAGGACCCGGCCCCCTGAGCTGCTGTGGGTATTCTCCAGGCAAATGAGCTCACAGACGGGGTGGTAGGGGTTCCCCAGGCCCTGTGTGAGCACCCTCTCCAGCTCCACCAGGTCCAGCGTGCCGTGGGGCAGGTCTGGGAGGGGGTGGGAGTGCACCCCTGCGATCTGCAGGTATGGAGGGGACGAAGGGTCAGGACCAAGGTCTAGGAGCACCTCCTTCCAGAGTGGGGGTCCTCTGGAATTAGGAGGCAGCCCCTCGAAGGTAAATTCTAGAGTCCTGGGCCTGCCCCTCCCAGCCCCGGGCCTTGGAGCCTTTCCCTTGCTGTGCATCAGCATCTGGGCACAGGCATCCCAGCTAGCGAGGGGAGAGACGGGGTCACCTCCTCATCGGCCTCAGCTTTCTCCTGAGCTGTTGCAGTCTGGCTGCCATCCCGTGTACCACTAGGGGGCAGCAGGGAGCCAAGCGCCAGTCTCTGTGGGCCCGGGATGCCCAGGTCCAGCCCAAGCTGCTGCTGCCCTCGGGTGGCCAGTCTGGGAACCAGCTCTCCTCCCACCTCCCTGCAGAAGCCACCAGCCAGGTTCTCTCGGGCTCTCCCTTCCTCCCCTCTGCAGGTGCCAACCCGGTCCCCGCAAGGTAGGTTCCCACCAGAAGCGCTGAGGGCCCCAGGTGAGGGTGCCTGGTCCTTACCTGAGCTGCCCCGCCCTGCTCATAGACATGGAGGTGGCTCTCTTGCCCAAGGAGGAGCTGGGAGCCCCGGCGCCGGCAGTGACCCATCACTGAGATAAACGGGGGAGGGCAGGTCTTGGCACCAAGTCTGATGGGGTCCACTTGCCCCAGCCTGCTCAGCCTCCGCCAGGCTGAGCCCCAGGGCCGCAAAAGGAGCCCCTGGTTGGTGCAAACGGTGAATGCACTCAGCTGCCAGCCAAAAGGTTGGAGGTTGGAGCCCACCCAGGGGCACCTCAGAAGAAAAGCCTAGCAATCTACTTCTGAATAACCAGCCATTGACAACCCTACGGAGCACAGTTCTGCTCTGACACACATGGGGTTGCCATGAGTCAGAATCGCCATGAATCAGAGTCGATTTGACGAAAGCTGGTATCTGGTAGACACAGATCTGCGGCCACACACAGCCTGCACACCTGTGTCCCGTGGCCCCGCAGAAGTCAGCCAAGGTGCTGATGCTCAGCTGGTGGCAGGCGCCCAGGGCACCTGCCTCGTCAGAACCTGCAGAAAGTGGCTCCCACAGACTAAGAAACCCGGGGAGAGTATAATAAAGGGACAACTCACACGGTGTGGGCGGGGTGTGGAGAACCCTCGAGGGACAGTGCGGACCCCTGGCCTGAAGGGGGCCGGGGAGAGGAAGGTGTTCCAGGAAGCTGGAGACGGGGCTGTGTGGAGAGGGTCACCTGGCGCTGGCCGGGACCTGGCTCCCATCCCTTCCCCCATCTCCTGCTAAAGCTCCGTACAGCCACCCAAAGGATATTGCCCAGCAGTGTGGGGGCCCCGGACGCAGAGGGAAGGAGCGTGGGAGGGATCTGGAGGCAAAGGCAAGTGGCAGTGCTCACCAGAGATGAGATTGGCCATGGTGTTCGTGGGCACAAACAGGGTTTGCTCCACGCCGAGCAGCTCCGAGACCTTTTCCTGAAGCTCTGAGGGGAGAAAGGGGTGGCAGGAGGATGGGGCCCATCAACAACAACGCCCAGGCACCAGCTCACCCTCCCGAGCACTTTCCAAAGTGCTTCCCTGGCGTTACTTCTCAACAGGCAGGAGCCTGCGGGAGCAGGCACTGTTGGGGCCAGGGCCCTTGCATGCCCAGTGAGCAGGACTGGAGCCCGAGTCTCGGTTATCACATATCCCGGGCTGGAGCCCCTCAGTCAGCCCTTGTGCCTTGGTGCCCCACCTCCTCCTGGGCCTTGGTTCCCCCATTGAAACTCCCGTGGTCTGAACTCCCACCTCCCACCAGACTCACACCTGTCCCACTTCCTTTCCCATCAGCCACTCACAGGTGGGGCCTTGCGGTTTCTCTGCTGACTTCCTCTCCCACAGTATGGGCAGAACGGAGGAGAGGAAGCTCCGGGGAAGGGGCAAGACCCCCAGGAAGGGGAGACTCTGGGGGGCTGTGGGAGGGGACCAGGGTTGCACTGCAGGGGGAGACTGAAAGGTGGGGCTCTTCCCCCCAAGTGAAAGCCGGCTGCGGCTCCCCTTTGTCTGGGACATCGACTCAGTACCCAAGCTGTACCACCAGGCCTCTGCCTCCCCTTCCAGGGACACGGGTGCCTGCCCTGCCCCCGACACACCACCACTTTGGCCCACCCACGTCCTAGACACCCTTCCCACCGCTGTGCTTCTGCCTCTGCAGTCACCTCCTCCCGGTGTGCCAGCCCTCCCGTGCCTGCTCTGGGGACGTCATCCTTTAAGAGGGCTCCTCTGGAAGCCCCCCTCACTGTGACTGCAGCCCCCTCCCCCAGTTCCCAGGCACTCCCTGCTCATGTCAACGCCAGCGTCCCCCCCGCCGGATGGCAGCGACCTGTTTTGGAATCAAGCTGCCGTGGGCTCGGCACCTGGAAAGTTCCAGGTAATCGCAGGTGTCTGCTGGAGGTGGTGTCAGCTCCAACCACTCCCTGACCCCACACACGGGCCGTCGGGCTCAGGTGGAGACCCCATGGCTTGTCCCTGGGTGTGTGGGGGTTGTACACACCCCAGCAATCACAGTGGCTCACTATGGTGACAGCTCTCAACCCGGGGTGGGGTAGAGGGTCACAGGATCTTGTAAACATGCCCTAGGTCATTAGAGCCCCCTCCTCAGAGGGGCAACCCTGGAGAAACTCCTGTTCTAGATGGGGTTTCCGTTTGTCTTGTGGGAAGGCGGGGGCAGGAGAATGGCTATGGGTTCGAATCCTGGTGTTGCCATCTACTGGGTGTGGGACCAGGAGGGAGTCCCTCAGCACCTCAGAGCCTCCTCTGTAAGATGGGATGGTAACACCCATCTCATCGGAGGGCTGAGTGACACTTCATGTGCACACAAATCGCCCGTTGATCCTGCTAAAATGCAGATTCTGGCTCAGCAGCCTTGCGTGGGGCCGGCGAATCTGCATTTTTAACAGGCTCCCAGGTGCCGGGCCATACTTTGAGCCTTAAGGTGCTCGCCAAATGCCAGCTGAGCCCCCAGCCTTGCATTCCGGGCCACCCCTCCCGCCGGCACCACGGACAGCGCTCTGGGGTCGCCTCGACGACCCCCGCCCCCAGCTTGCACGCTGGGCTCACCGCGGACGGTGGGGTCCTCGCCGTAGTCGTCGTCCCCCACGACGGCCTCGGCCATGGCGCGCCTCATGGCCGGCCCGGGCCTGGTCACCGTGTCGCTGCGTAGGTCAACCACGTGGGCAGGGACCCCCGCCCGGCCGCCGGACCCCCGCGCCCAGGGGGCCCCGTGCCTCCGGGCCGCGGCCCGGGCCAGTCCGCGGAGCATGGCAAGGCAGTGCCTGTCCTCCCACCCCGGCGGGGGCTGAGGACGCCTGCCAGCGAGGGCTGAGGGAGCGGCCGGGTCGGCGCAGCCAGACTTTCTGACCCAGGGGGCAGCAGTCTTCGGCGCGGCGGGAGCGCTCCGCCCCTCCGCGGCATGCTGGGAGTTGTAGTCCAGGCTTAGCCGCGAAGGGTACCGCGGGAGCCCGCGATGCTGGAGCGAGAAGGTACAGGAAGGAAAACTGAGCGCGGAGCGCGGGCCGGGCAAGCTTAAAGAGCAGAGCTTACGTGGTTCTTACCCTGTACCAGGCACTGCCCCCGGCGATTTACAAGGGTTAACTCACCTAAGCTTCCCAGGTACTATTGTTGTGCCTGTTTTGCAGGTGGAGAAACCGGGCGCGCAGAGGCTGAGGAACCGGCTTCGGGTCACTGGGCTAGGAAGAGGGCGGGCGGAGTTTTGAACCCAGGGGCCTGTCCCCAGAGTCCAGCTCAGAACCACTGTGCTATGCTGCCGCCAAAAAGTAGCTCCCCATCATTTCCTTCTTCCATCAAGCCGATCAGTGTGGATTTGTTGCGCACCTCTGTACGCAAGCATCGTGTAGGTGCCCGGCAGGGGGACCCCCGGATCGCAGCAACTCCAGACCCCTCATAGGGCATAATCGGAGGCAGAATTAGACAGGCAGGAGGGAGCCCCTCCCGTGCCCGCTGTCCTCAAAGGATGGGCTGCTTTGGTGGAGAGGCAGCGGGCAGCAGTGTAGGGCACCCGCCCGCCTGCTACTAGATTGGAAGCTATATCCCCCACGCAGGGGCCGATTAACCAGTGAACACAATACGCAGGGCTTAATTGTGCTTACTTACTAATTTGTGGGAGCCCTGGGGGCGCAGTGGTTAAGAGCTGAGGCTGCTAACCAAAAGGTCGGCAGTTTGAATCCACCCCACTCCAGTTCTGCTCCATCCTAGAGGGTCCCTATGAGTCGGAATCCCCTGGAGGGCAATGGGTTTGGTTTGTTTGGTGTTTTGGATTTGGACTAATCTGTAGTGCACAATTTGACATGGTTGCATGTCAAAGATGTGGTGAAAAACAGGTGAAGTTGTGCACTACAGATGAGCAAATTCTCACCAGTAAACCCGTGGTAACTTGCTTATTGGGTAATTCATCCCTGCCCCCACTTACCAGCTGTGTCGCCTAGGACAAGCCACCTAACCTCTCTGTGCCTGTTTCCTCAGCTGCAAAATGGGCTGTTGTTGAGGGTTCGGTGAGTATTGTGTTTCGAGTGTAGCCTGGCTCTAGGTAAGCATCACCCACGAGTGTTCACTCTCCTATTGTTCTGTTATCACTGTACTGGGCACGGCCTGGAGCCCCCAAGGCCCGGGGCGAGGTGCTGCTGCCGTGGGGGGCACCCTGACTCAGCCTGAACTTGGCCTCCTGTGAGGTGATCTTCCTCGGAGCACCCGGCCCTGCTCAGTGGTGCCCCCTCCTGGGGCTGTGGCCACAGATGTGGGGGCACATCGCGTGGGGAAGTTGAGAGGGGCCGCAGCTCCCCGGAGGCTGCGTGGCTCCTGTAACCACCACCCCCACCCCTGCAGTGAAAAGAATGCTCATCCCTCCACAGACACAAGCTCCTGCTCCATGCCAGCTCTGGGTGGGGTGGGGGACCAGGGGAGAGCAAGAGCAGACAGCCCTGGGCTCAGAGCTCAGGTCCCAGGAGTGGGGGTCAGGCCCCTAGTCCTCACACAGACAATGGGGGGATGTCAGTGCCAGGGAGGCTGTGACAGGCCTGGTCTCCTAATCACAGCGGGCCTCCTAGAGGAGGCAGGGACTCACTGAGCTCTGCAGATGGAGCAGGGCGGAGGGGCAGCAGGAGGGAGGTCCCGGGTAGGAGGGAGCTGGTGGATGTGAGGCCCTGACGGGAAGCTGGCCTGGCTGCAGAATGAGCAGCCTAGATGTAGCCCACAGCGCATCCAGGGTTGTGGGACCCCATGGGGCGCCCCCACTCTGCCTTTCCTGCGTGGTGGGGCCATTCTGAGAGGCAGGAATTGGAGGTCCCTGTGGGGTCCACAGCCCCAGGGCCCCCATCTAAAGGAAGGGCTCAGCGCGCTGAGGGGGCTCTCTGGCCCTGACTCATCACCTCCACTGAATCCAGGCCCCGCAAAACAAGCTGTTAGCTCGCTGCTGCCCCAGCCCTTCTGCTGCGAAGTGGGGGGCAGGACGGAAGCCCTCTTGTAAGGGAGGAGGTGATGGGCTGGGCCTCGGGCTGGGGGCAGCGGATGAGAGCGCTCAGGGGAGCAGGGGGGAAGGGGGCAGCAGACAGGTCCCCCAGATGGGTCCCCCGGCGCCCCTCAGAATGGCCCCTTGTTTGCAGGCACTTCACGGTTTGCAAAGCCCTCCACTCTCAGGCTCCCTGTTCACCCTCACAGTGACCTTGGGTAGGAGGTGGCAAGGAGATTAGGGTAACCCGAGCACTCATCCGCAGTGACACAGCCAGTCACCAAACCAGCCTGTTCCCATCCGAGCAGGGCTGTTCCCCAGGGGAAGTGGCTTTTCCTGGAGAGGCTGAGGCAGAACAGGCTTCTCCTGCCAGGTGGCTACTTATCCCCACCCACCTACTCCCTAGGGCACCTGGGCCAGCCTGCCTGCCCCAGGGGTGGCCAGCAGAATGTGGAGGACGCAGGAAGGGTGGTCAGGCAGGGAGAAGGGTGGCGGGCCCTCTCCGGTGCAGCGAGGTGTGTTCTGAGGCCTTGTCGTGGGGGAGACCCTCTGACCAATGGCTAGGCCTCCGGGAAGTTGTGTGGCCTCACGTGTGTGTCTGTATGTGTATACATGTGTATGCTCAATATGTGTGTACATATGTATACGCACATGTACGTACGTATATACCAATGTGTGTTTGTATATGTGTGTGTGCATGTGTCTCTGTGTGTGTGTCTCCCTCTGCCTGCATCTGCGATCTGAGCTGTCCTGTTGTAAACTGGGGACAGGCCACGGCCCCAGGCTGTGAGAAGGCCGCTGTGGAGCTGGCAGTACTGGTGCCCTCCCCACCACTGCCTCCATCCCCCAGGTGGCCCTTGCACGCCTTCTCTGTAGGCTCGTCTGGAATTCTTCTCAAAAGAAGACCCCAGCTCCCTCACCAGTTGCCATCACCGGCGGTCATGGGGTCCAGTCCTCTGCCTCCCTCTGGGCCCACCCTAGCCCACCACCCAGCTTCTTCCTCCCCTGCCCATGCCAGGCCCCCAGGCTCTTGCCTGGACCTGGCAGCAGCCTCCTCCTGGTGCCCCATCCTCCAGGGTGGGCCCTGCAGTCCAGCCTCGTGGCTGCATGCTGGCTGCACGCTGCCGTCAGCCTGCGCTGCTCGCTCCACTTCTGAGCTCACATCTTCGTTAGGGTCAAGTCTGGCCTCCTTGATGAGGCTCTGGGCTCAGGGGTCCAGCCCCCTGCCCCCCCAGCCTCCTCCTCACCCCGTACTCCAGCCTGACTCAGCGGCTGTTCTCCAAAGGCCCTGTCCTCCCTCTCACCCCTGGGTCTTTGCAGCTGCCATTCTCCTGCCTGGAGGCCCCTAACCATCAGCATATTTTCCTGGTTACCACCTTCTCAGTCTCCAGGCCTCAGCTGAGATGCTGCTTCCTCTGGGAAGTCCCCCTGGCCCTCCTTCTGGGGCACCAGTAGCCCCTCTTTTTCCTATAACCCTGTGGTCACGGCAGTGGGCTGCTCTCTTGTCCTTTGCGATGTCCTGTGTGCCAAGCCAGTGTGTGACCTGCAGTCGGCACTCGGTGAACACCAGCAGCAGAACGGGAGGGAGGGACACATAGTCCGTCTCCCCCGCCCCCGGACCCCAGGACCCCCGGACGCTGTCGTGTGAGGCAGGGAACGACGAGGGAGCTCTGAGCATGGAAGCGCCCAGGGCCCCCGTGCGGGAGGTAGCCAGGAGTGGACAAGGAGCCAGGAGAACAGGTATGAGTCCTGCCTCAGTCTCTCTGCAGGCCGGGTCTCAGGGTCCTCCAGGTAGCCACCTCCCTGGCCTATGCCCACCTGAGGCCTTCCTGAGATAGGTATCTGCGGCCCCACCCCCGGCGGTCAGAGGATACTGGGCAGGCTGGAGGGGGCAGCAGGACCGGAGTCCCGGGGTGGGCTGTGGCATGGCACCCCTCCAGGCCCAGGCTCTGGGGCGTGTGCAGCGCATGCTGAGCTCAGTGTGGATTCCTGTAATGCTGTGCTGGCAGGAAGTGAGCCTGGGGAGGCCGGCTGCTGGGAACCCGGGCTGGCCCCACCGAGATAAAGGGAGGCAGCAGATTGGAGCTGCAGATAGCTGCTGTGCCTGGTAAACAGGGGGGGGGAAACGGCCTTTCCATCCAGCCCCTGGCCCCCAGCCCGTGGGACCTATACGGCGCTGGCCGGGCGCTGACCCTATGGCCCCGCAGGCCACCCCGGGAAGGGGCGAAGGGCGGGGCTCTGGCCTGGCTGGCACTGTGGGGTCATGCACTTGGCCCATGTCGGGGCTGCCCCATGTCAAGGGCACGGGTGCTGTGGGGAGGGAGGAAGGGGGAGTGAGCAGAGGGGAAGAAGTCTTCTGACAGTAGGTCAGAGCCTTTGACTGCTTCAGAACTATCTCCAGGAACCCAGATGGGATCTGTTGGGAGGGTGGGAGACCAGGAGAGAAAGGGCGGGGGGCTCCAGCTTTTACGGTGATTATTTGCTTTTCATTAGGGTTTTGCCACTACCTATGTATCCCTTAGGGGCTCTGGTGGCGCAGTGATTAAGTGCTTGGCTGCTAACCGAAGGTCAGCGGTTTGAACCTACCAGCCACTCTGCAAGAGAAAGATGTGGCAGGTCTGCTTCTGTAAAGATTACAGCCTTGGAAACCTTATGGGGCAGCTCTACCCTGCCCTACAGGGTCGATATGAGTCAGGATAGACTGGATGTCAGTGGATTTGTTCGGTTTTTTTGTATCCCTTAAGGAGCCCTTGTGGCACATGGGTTAAGCACTCGGCTGCTAACCCAAAGGTTGGCGGTTCCAACCCACCAGCCGCTCCGTGGGAGAAAGATGTGGCAGTCTGTTTCCATAAAGAT